GATTAATCGTACAGTGTTTCTTATGCTTCCTTGGTGTGGCATCAGTTCAGACAGAATAATTAAGTTAACAGCCAGATTATTTTGGATTCTTACATTAGGATTTATTGAATTTTGTCATTGCCTTTATTTTTCGACGCATTTAAATGCGCAGAACTTTTTTAACTTGGTAGATTGCTTATGCAGTTTTATAGGATTCGCAAAATTTACCACTAAGCTCGTTGCGTTTTGGTTGAACCAACAGTAAGTGTATACGAGAGTGTGTAGTATTATTTAAGTAAAACATTATTTACTGTTATTATAATTTAGTTATTGACATATTTACGTATTAATCACGATATAAATTATTATTAAAATCAAATGTCGTAGTATTGCGCGCAATCATCAAAAAATTATATCTTTTCTATAATTGCCTATAAGCGCGGATAAAATTTGTTATTATTACTTGTTTCTGGAAAAAAAACATAAGAATTACTGAATTATATGTAAGAAAAAATTTCGCTCAAAGCAACAGAGATGTTTATATTGTTTTGCGCGAGAGTCGAAGATGATATATTTTTGAAGATACGGTTCATTTAGCGAGATAAATGGGACTCATTTGAATTCGACAGCATGATCGAATAATCGTCCACAGAAAATTCGTGGAGACTATGATGTTAATCACGGACGACTGGAATGATTGTGCTGAGAATGATATCGGCCTGCGCGTGATGACAGACAAGGCAAAGATATTAGATCGTATCGCTAATATGATTTTCATCCTTCAAACGGTGACGATTGCTGCATATTACCTCAGAACTGTTATCACTGATGTCGATATTACAGATAAAATCGAGCTGCCGTTTAACACCAAAATAGAGCTTCCTTTCAGTATTAGTACGCAGCGAATGTATAGATTAGTGTTAATCACAGAATTTATACACGCAATTTTTGCAAGTTGGGTACAATGTGTTATAAATACCATATTTTTGGCTATGGTAAGTTTTAACTGTGTAAGAAGTTATAACTTAAAATTTATAGAAATACTAATGATTATTTGAAATACCGTGTTGTTACTTACGTTAAATAATATATCTATATTAATATTT